AAAAAAAGAAAAAAGAAAAAAAGAAAAAAAGAAAAAAGAAAAAAAGAAAAAAAGAAAAAAAGAAAAAAAGAAAAAAAGAGAAAAAAAAAGAAAAAAAAAAAAGCCCCGCAACCCTTGGCAGCACCTGCCACTCTGTTTGCCTTAATTGCCACAATTTAACTTCGGCAGCAGAACATCATCCTAACTGGAGTATGAATATGGAGCTGAGCCTTGTAACCAAATCAAATAGGAAACAAGAGACTCCCATTATCTTCAAAGGGCTTCAAACCAGACCTCAAATAACTGGAAGTACTAGTGAGATCTCCACTTGCAGAATGAGAACTTTACATGGCTGAAAGCTCCACTATAAAGGTAAGGAATCGAGCTGCAAGTAAGAAGTGGTAAAACCAAGACTTTAATCTCAAATCATAGCACATGTTTCATGACTACTCTGTCTGACTGAAGAAGCATGAACATTAGCAGAGAAAGAGTCTTCAGTTCTTTACATTTTATTAAATCTAAACCAGACTTAAAAGAGTTTTTTCAAGCCCTTCCTATCTGTAGATCATGAAGGATTTTTCAATGGAAGTGCAAAACCCAATGGAAAGGGTTAAGGAAAACTAACTTGAGCTGGACCATAAATACGATTGGAGTTCAGCATTCCACTGAGACGTCAGACTGTATACTACAAGCAAACCAGTTTATAAAGATTTACAAATAAAAAAAAAAAAAATCACATGCCATATTTGCTTTTAATGGATGGGAATACAATTCATACATATTCCTCTTACCAGAGGTTTCCCTGTCAGACCCTCCAAAAGGTCCAAAAGCTTCCTTCCATCTTTCAGATCTGTGAACATGTCCTTAACTGGGGGCTTCCCACTCTGTAGAACAAACAAAAACAGTAACAAAATTAACTTTGAACAGAAACTTTTTTAAAGATTGCCCTTTTCCCATTTTGTTTTTACATTTTATTTCACTATTATTTTACATTACTCTTACAATTCATGTTATTTTATGTTTCATATTGAGTGCAGCAAAACCCAAGCACCAGGGACACTGGTTGGAGGCCCCTTTCCCATCTCCAGGGTTTGTTTCCCCCCATTCCAGGGGTCTGTGGACCAGAAGCCCGGTACCAAAGGGAGCCTGTCCTGGCCCCCATGAGCACAGGAGCTTTAACGTGTCCGGGGGTGAAAAGCGGATCTCCACGAGCCTGAAGACTTGCTGGACAAAGTGCTTTGGTTTGATTACACCCAGAAGAACCACCCAGGGCTTCATGAAAAGAAGCTATCTGGACAAACCCTCTTTGAAACAAAAAATAAAAATTTATAAAATGCAACTCTGAACTGAACCCTGTGTAAGGAGCTTTTCTAAAGACATTGGGAGACAAAAGTGTGTAATATACTTTGAAACAAAACCGTTGTCTCTAAATTACATACTTCTCGTATTCATTTTCTTTGTGGGTAGAGGGACCCTGAACAAGAGTGGCGGTACCTGAGAGCAGAATTATGTTAATCYTCCACCTTCCCTTTTAATCTAACTCCTTCCTGGCCTCCAAGAAAGTCAACGTGGGGAAAGTTAACACCAGAAGGCGCCGGGGGACGGGAGCACAGGCAGCCAGCAGCCGCCCAAGGGCACTGGCTTCACTATAAGCACCCCGGCTGCCAGCGCGCCCATCAAGCTGCCGCTTTGGGCGTCCCAAAGAGGTGCCAATTTGAGGAGAAAGAACTAAAAAGTTCCTAGGACTCCAATGCAGCCGTGTTTTATCACCTTGGTTTTGTAACGTTGCTTTCAAAAAGAAGGCTGACAAAGTCCCCACTGAGGTGACCTGAATTAGGTCCCATCGATCTGCACCCACCTCCCTCTTCCCAGACACTGTTCCTGTGGCCCAACTGACCAACGGCTCCCAACATGGAGCTCGCTCAGCCCCACTGCTGGCAAAGGGACCCTTCCCGTGCGCATCGCACGGGTGGTCCTTTTACATGTCAAATTTAATGACAACCAAAAACTATGGAAAGGATGTGATGCTACTGAAAGCATTCGTATCAGATCAGAGCCTCAGAGCAGCATTCCAGCCTGCTGCACAGAAACAGACCTGACCATAACCCAGGGTGGCAAGAGACCTGCTAAGCGCATAGCTGCAGGAACGGCCTCAGGTGACTTGTTAAGATCACACAATGACAGCCTCAGTTTTTGATATTAAATTAAGTTTCACAAAGCTACTCTCCCATCCCTTTCACGAGTCATACCCTTACTCGCACACACACACACAGCGTTTTCACATGCAGTACAGACATATTAAATTCCAGTATTTGATTATACCCTGCCCTTATATATTGCCACTTTCCACAAGTGCAACTATTGCCTTCCAAGCACTGCAAGGGACCAGGCTTAAATCCAAACTTAAAAGTATGCTGGGGCAGCAGGACAGGAATATACAAGGAAACACCCAAGGAAACTTCTTGCATGATTCATGGTATAAAGTGCCCACAGGAGCAGGATTGCAACTGCAGACACCATCGAAAGTTGGTTTAAATTTGGTTTGCCCCCCACACAGATAATGAGCGGAGGCTGGAAGGGACACAAAGAAGTTTAGCTCTGTATTTCCATTCCTCTAGACACATGATGCTAATAGAGGCCTTGCTGGATGCAGGGGGGCTCAAAATGTGAAAGCAAATGCTGGCAACCACATAGGCAGCTGCGTACAGTGCAACCCAGTACAACCAGTGAGMGCAGAGCCCCCCATACACAGTCACAAAGCAACACAAGGACAAGGGACAACGGGCCACAAATAAAAGTACACGAAGTTTCATCGAAAGATGAGGAAGCTCCTTGACAGTAAGGATGGCAGAGCCCTGGCRGAGGCTGCCCAGAGYGGCTGGGGAGGCTCCATCTCTGGAGATCTTCCAAACCCTCCTGGATGCCGCCCTGGGCCACGTGTGTTCCAGGGGACCCTGTGTGTGCCAGGGGGTTGGACTAGCAGAGTTTAATACCTCACCTACACAATTACAGCATTAAACTCCACTTCTGCATACACAAACCCTAGAACGTTATCTTTTCTTATTAAGAAAACCGCATATATACATACAAAACACGAAGAATGAAAATACTGAAGAGGARAATATCAAAGCTGTATAAGCCCAGTAAGTTTGATACTTCAGCTCTAGGACTTCACCAAACAGGGGCTGGATTTACTGAAAAGCAGAGCGCTGGCTCATACGCAGCACAGGACAACAAGGGGAGCTGGGGCTCTCCAGCTGTCTTTCTTCATTCCCCACCTACTCACTTTACACGCATAAAAATAAACTCTAGGGCTTCCTGCTTTCAGTCTTTTACTCCGTTAGCTCACGGTATATTCCAGCCGTGAGAAACATAGCCTGCTGTGATGGCAAAATAGTTCAGATTCCCTTGCTCAAGGGAATGGTTTCTCATTTCACTGCCCGTCAAAGCACCTCGTCTTTCTGCCAGTTGAAAGAGTCACCAGAASAGCATTACATTATTTCTGCAATCTAAGCTACTCATTTTCAGTTTATTACAGTACCCATTATCCTCAAAACAAATACAGACAGAGTAATGTTAGAAACCTCTGTATTTAGTGGATTATTACATAGAAAAGCACTGTGAGATGGTAGCCAGTTCACACAGAAGATTCCCACAGGCACAAGGAGACTAAAGGGGCTGCAGCAGCTACCTCTTGAGCCCATCCCCGCGTTGACAGCGGCACAGCCGCTCCTCGGGCTTGGGCTCCCCTCCGGAGGGCGCTGGGATCTGTGGGGCCAAAACCGTGGCCGCGATGGGAGCGGAGCAGATGGGAGCTGAGCCGGTCACAGCGCCAGCCTCCCGCCTGTCCATTCCCCTCCCACCTGGACTCACGTTTCCTCCATGCTGGGTCCCTTGGGCTGCAGCTCCCGCGTTCCCACGCGTTGCCACGCAGGAGCTGCAGCCCAAGAGGCCCCGCATGGAGCGAGGACCATCACTGCCCCCTGCTCCAGCTCCTAGTGCAGCCCCATCTCCTCTGAGGCAGTTGACGGCAGCCTCATGTGCTTCAGGAGGTCTTTTTCCTTCCTTTTCCGGGAAGGACAGCTATGTATCCCAGTTTCTGGCAGCTGTGTGATTCACAAATGCTACCAAGCTTGGAAAGGAGATGGAGCCTTTTTTTAGGTATGTAAAATGTCAGCCCAAGAGACGGACCTAGACCTAGACCTAGAGCACAGCCAAGAGGGACTGTGGCTCTGTGCAGAGCGCTCAGAGCCAGGCAGGAGCCACAGCAGGGTCTCAGCCAAGGCCTCTTCCAAGGCCTCCTCACCTAATCGAGCCCAAAACAGTAGGTGAATGGAAGGATTTCCACCAGTTTCACAGGCTGAATCAGACCTCATATGATGGGTAAACACGTTCCCATGTCCTTTCAGCTTGCACATCTATATACACACACTCATGCACATATCTGTACTATGTAAAAATACAACAGCATCTCCAGAGTCAAGATAACCTAAATCTCACCTTTTCAGAGCTAACTCTTTTACTCACTTTCTACACACTACAGAAGTCCCAGCAGCTCAGCCTCTGCCACCACGCAGTGCAGAGCAGCATTCCAACACTGCACATGGCACATGAAGACAGACAAGCACTTGCTTTGTAAGAGTGGCAGCGACAACCCACGCAGAGCCCTTGAGCAAGGGCGAACTGCTAGTCACAGTTAYGTTGTTAAGTACTCAGGGAACCATCCCACACTGCGCTAAGCAAATACAGGGCAGGCAGAGGGCCTTTCTCAAAGACAAAACAGGGCGCAGTTTACACTACAGAGATAGCAGTGTGAGAGACAGTCRGGGGCACTCCGAGCACCAGAGCTGTGCTGGTCTGGGCTGTGACTATTCGCACAGGCCCTTAGGTCAGCCAGCAGGTTTTTCCCAGCCTGGTTTACGTTAGCGGTGACAGCAGGAAGCAGCAGTGACACCCAACACCAGCAGGAAGCCCCTTTCCCTCAGCCCACCCCAAGGGGGCTTTGCCAGCAACACTGTGGGGAGAGTTTCTGCAGCAGAGACAAGGGCTTGATAAGATGGGTGGAAAAAGAACATAATTAACAGGCTTAGCAGAAAAAGGCTGCATCAGTTCCCAAATGCTTTSAATTGGCACCGAGAGCAGGGAAGGGGCTGAGCTGCTTAAACAGGGACAAGCTTAAAGGGAAAGAGGAAGGAGAGAGGAAGGAGACAGAAAGCAAGGCGGAGGGAAGGAGACAGGGAAATAAACCCAGGAAGGTCATCTGGGAACTGGAGGCGATCGCGCCACCCAAGGCTCCGCTCATTCCCAACACGTCAGCGTCAGCCGGGGCGCTAGGGAGGCAGGGAGGGGGCAGGCAGAGGGCCTGCGCTAGCTCCGCAGGCCTCCCCTCGMCGAGGGCGGCGGCAGCCCCTCGGCCACCTCCCGAGCAAGCGCTGGTGGCGGCAGCGGGATCAGCACCTCGGCGCAGCGGCCTCGGAGCGCAGGGAAGGAGGGCGCCCGAGCCGAGCCGCCGCAGCCCCGCCACCCTGCCAGGGTCAGGATGGTGACTCACCCTCCCGCACGTATCCGGGATTCCTGGCCGGGTGACGTGACGGAATTGCAGAGAAGGGGCCATCCAGGCCAGCCCACATGACTGGGCAGAAATCATTCCCTCTCCTTGCCAGGAAATACAGGAAGATATGAGCAAATTCTGGCCAAGATTTGCTTTACAAAGTTAGCCTCTACTAAAGGTTCAAAGATAAAGCCATCAACATTTACAGTTTCTCTTTTAAAATAACAACAACAACAACAACATGCACAACAGCAAGGTAATGCTCTTCTTTGASTATGCTTCACAGCAGAATGTCCTTAACTTTCCCTTTTTTATTTATGTGGAACCATAACA